CTATAGGCACGTACGCACTGGGCACTTAGGAGCAGCCAGAGACAATGATCCTCACCTGTGCGCCTCAGACCTTTAGACCGCATACTATAGCTTGGTTTTACCAGGTTTTTAAACGCACTTTTTTTTTTTTTTTTTTTTTTTTTTTTTTTTTTGGAATAGTGGACACTTTTATTATTTGGAATTGTTACTTGTGTACTTGATCAGCATTTTCTTAGCACTACACCTGCCCCTTCAGACGGCAGTTGCATTGCAGAAATATGTAGATCTGCATTGAGATGCAGCTGTATCTAATAGGTGTGGCTGCAGCTCAAAGGTCAGTATCGCGGTGAGTATGGACCCTCAAACTGAATCCCCAAGGTGTGCAGTGGGTGCACAGTGGGCTCCCTCCCCCTTCGAACCCATGTCCGCTGCACGTATTTCACACATTAGGGACATGCCGGTGTATCTGAGTGAGAGTGGCTATGAACTGTACAGCCACCTCTAGCTTTAGTCTCATCTCTGAGGAGCAATAGTGACTGGCTGAAAAAGTTAACGCATGGGGTACCAACTTGCCATGTCACTCGGTAACCCTCAGGTTGAATTGCCAGAGTACATTGATCTGCATTTTATAGGCATGGTTGCAGCTGGAAGGTCAGTATTGTGGTGACTATGGCTCCTCAGATTGAATCGTCATGGTGTGAAGTGAGTACACAAAGGGGACCTGCTCCCTCTTGGGAACCGTATGCACTGAATGCGCTGCATGTACTGCACACATTAAGGACAAACCACTGCAACTAGTAAGTGTGGCTATGAACTGTATAGACAGCCCTGGCTTTGGCCTCATCTCTGGAGAACAATAGTAATTGGCTGAAAAACTTTATCTATGGTGCTCGAAATTCCGCATGTCAATGGGTAACCCTGGGGCGTCTGCAGAGGTCAGCAGTAGCCTATAGAGAACTACTTCATTCTACAAGTGAAAGGTTACCAGAGGCAAGCTCAGGATTGTTAGGGATTCCAAGGTGTTTAAGTGCTGTTTTTATATAGTAAGAAAAATTTCCTATGAAGTCCATGTAGCTGCTTTTGGTGCAATTGCAACCCCTGTATCTGGAATAATGGGCAACCAATGGACACAGTTTTGTAACAGTCTGAAATTGATTTAGCTTTGATGATGAAAGATTTTTCCCTCCAAGCAGATGCATAATTAAGTGGTCAGGTTCAGGTTTTATTCTGTACCAGTAATACTGTAGAGCAGCTAACAACCTATGCGGGCCAAAGATAGCAGGAGAACATAGGTTTGTTTTGGAGGTTATTGAATCTCTGGAGACTCAACATAATTACAGCCCTTCTTGGAACTTTAGATATACCTGATTGATGTTGTTCTGTGATTCTGTACACCTGTAGTCCTTGCATTGCTTACTTATAGAGTAAAGTAAGGTGCAGCGCTAAATAATTATATATCAAATTGTTCTTGCTTAAACATCTAAAATCACCATAAACAATGAATATGTGACATAAGTGCAATAACAGATGTCACTCAATGGTGACTAACATCGTGAAAGAGTGTTGCACACAACAAAGTCCAATATATAAGTGCACACAAGATCCCAATTGATCTTCAAAATCCAGTAGCTGGATCTGTGGGTAAGGTGATAGGTGTGTAAAGATTGCGCACTCACCAGATACGCAATCCAAATGCGCATATAAAAAGTAACCACAGGACATCAAGGATCCTAATAGGCTGCGGCCAGCATCTCTTACGTGTGACTCCTCTGCGTGCAGCATCCATCTACACCGGTGCAGCCCGCCTGTCCTCCTGCTCCTTTTTGAGAGCCATTTACATCCGCAGAGCAACCTTTCCATGTGTGGGAGCATTTCTATACAGTGAGGGGATGTCTGACCTGATCTGACCAGACCTATTAGGATCCTTGATGTCCTGTGGTTGCTTGTTATATGAGCATTTGGATTGCGTATCTGGTGAGTACGCAATCTTTACACACATCACCTTACCCACGGATCCAGCCACTAGATTTTGAAGATCAATTGGGATCTTGTGGGCACTTATATATTGGACTTTGTTGTGTGTGCATGATAGTAGTCACCATTGAGTGACATCTGTTATTGCACTTATGTCACATTGTTTATGGTGATTTTAGATGTTTAAGCAAGAACAATTTGATATATAATTATTTAGCGCTGCACCTTACTTTACTCTATTACTTTGAAGGTTTTATATGGTACCTTGCGGTGTACAGCTGCTGATTTTACCTTTAGCGCTCACTTATTTTGCTGTTTATTATTGCTTACTTATAGTTCTTGCAGTTTCCAAGTCATTAGTCTTTGTGCGGTCTTATTTATTCATCTTGGATTATAGCATCCTCAACAAACGCATTAAAATCTAAAGGTGGAGCTTTTCCAGTTCACTCTTCATATGCACGCTAGCATTGCCAAATCACATCATTTGCAGACGACAGACCATGCCTGGTAGATTTTAGCAGATCACAATTTTTATGCTGCATTATATCTGGTGATATTTGATAGCACAAGGAAAAGTGATTGAGGTCACTTCTTGTACACATCATAAAGTACGTGCAATGAACCGATGAGAGAATAATTGCTACTATTGCCTCCAATACAACTGATTTAGAGTACTGTGATATTGTCTGAGATGTTTTAGAAGCAGGTGATTGACTGCATGTCATTTTGTTGTGTGATTGTGTGACCAGGAAAATTTCCCCGTGTAGCTCTAACCAAAGCAGGAAACACAGCCTTAATATATAATTGGTACTATATATACAGGGGCGGACTGACCATTCGGGCACTCGAGCAATGCCCGAGGGCCCGGGGTCAGTAGGGGGCCCCATGAGATGCCCCTGGTACCTTTTTCATAGGCTTTTTTGGGTGTGGTCTGAGTGTGGGTGAGGACACAGGGGCCCCATGGTCCCCTATTGCCTGGGGGCCTCATGAGTTGTCAGTCCACCCCTGTATATTTATATATGTTACAGAACTCCGGGTAACTCTATAATATATAGTTAGTCAGCTTCTGGCCAACACTAACCTCCAGCAAACGTCTTTTGTTAAATCTCCATCATATTCCATTGTTGAGTGTATCTCCACCAAAGAGATTTCTTTTGCCCAAAGATATAACCAGAGGTTTCCCAATGGGAAAGCCATACCAAACTGGTAGATTACCATGGCAAACTTTTTTTTTTTAAATTTATTTGCTTGGCTGTCACAATGCTTTAGCCAATACTCTAGTGTGTGTGTGTGTGTGTGTGTGTGTGTGTGTGTGTGTGTCTGGCTTTTCTATTGCGTTTGTTACATGCCAGTTCCCAGTCTGTGGCTAAGTAGTAAAAACAGCATTTTTGTAAAAAGCCCAGCAGTGGCTGTTTGCACTTAAAGACTCATTCACCCTACTACTATTTAGGGAGAGGGATTTTCTAGGATTGATATCCTAGAAAACCTTGATTGGTTGTTGACTGGGCAGTGGATAAGGGGGTACCACCAGTCCTCCTGTATGGGTGCCAGACAGCAGGGGGGCCCAGGCAGCTGAGTGAATCAGATGTGGGCAGGGAGGGTGATTGGCACGGCAGGGGGGCAGTTACTGGAACCGATCTCCTGTATGGCTCTCTCTGCAGCAGCTGAAAGCTGGCTTCTTCTCCTCTCCCTCCCACTTTTAGCTGCTGCAGAAAGAGCCAATCGGGGGATGGATTCCGGTAATTGCACCCCACATCCCCACCACAACCATCACCCTCCCTGAGCATGATGCAATTCCCTCTTCTGTCCAGGCCCCCCTGTGTCCCCCCACCCTGGCAGTGCTGCCAGCTTTCCTCCTCTTCTTCCCACCGACCGCTTCAAGCACACAGTAGGATCCTTCAGAATGGAGTGTGGGGGAAGCGGCCGGTAAATGTGTCCCATTTACCAGCCCCTTCCTTTCCTGAATGAACGCAATGAGTGATTTGGTAACAATCACTCACTGTGTTCATTCATACCTGAAGCATAGGACATTGGGTTTTTTGGGGGGAGAGGGGCCCTGTAACGTTGGCTGTAGGAGGCCCAGTGGTTTCTAACAGCAGCCCTGTTAATGTGAATCAGTAGTAATGAGAAACTGTAGATTTTAGAATGTTTTGATAAATGTGCAAGCAGGGACTCCCACTTCTCTCTAGAGTCCTGATATAATAGCAGCCCTTCTCAGAACAATAGATTAACTTGGAAATGTGATGTTGTGACCAGGGGAGGACTGACAACTCATGGGGTCTCCGGGCAATAGGGGATCATGGGGCCCCTGTGTCCTTGCCCAAACTCAAAAAAGCCTATGAAAAAGGTACCAGGGGCATCTCATGGGGCCCCCTACTGACCCCGGGCCCTCGGCCCGAGTTTCCAAATGGTCAGTCTGCCCCTGGTTGTGACCTTTCTCAGGAAACCTCCAACTTCCGGTATCCAAACTTTCTTAGGTATTTGCAGATGTTTACATCACAGACTAACATGGGTGGCCAATCACTAAGGTCACATGGGTAGATTGGGAGGGAGTTGCCTGCTCTTGCATACCCAGAAGTACCAGATATATAATGTCACTTGCCTGGGTATAGGGAAGATAAGCAGGGGTACACACACAATTTGTCCTGACTATGCTTTTAAATAAGGACCCACTGGGATTTAGGTGGCCCATTTAAATTAGATGTATGCAGTTCGATGCTAAACCCCTTCCCTCTGTTACATAGACCTGAACACTACTCACTTCCTTTGAACTTAATCAATGCACAGCAAGTATATTTGCATTTGAACACTGGTTGAATGTAGACACCCAAAAACTCTTCATGAGAAGGAGCCCTTTGTTGACCATTTCCACCCCTAAAGGATAATATCAGCACATGCATAGGTCAGCATTAAAGTGAACCTGTTGCTTTGTCCTGTAAGTCCAAAGAACAAGTCCTCTGAAGATTTTGTATTGATCTGTCCAATATAAACTTACCATGTGTCAGGCCTATTGCTGATGTCTTATTTGTGTTCTATTCCAGGTCACAATGTCTTACCCAATGACCTCCCAGCCCCAGGCAATGCAGGGCTACACTACCAGTAACAACCAATGGAACTCCGAAGTTATGGACTGTTGTGAAGACATGGGCATCTGTACGTATCAGAGGTTTTACAATGCACCCATAAGGCATATCATGACTGTTATTTCTTCCCTGTAGTTTACAATTTGGGACATGGGAGTGAATGGGCCTGAAATGATGTGTGGGGGAAGCATGGCGTTTACATTGACCAAATATATAGATTATGAAATATACTAGTTCTATGATATGATTTGGTAAATGAAGAGTTCTTACCCAGAAGTGAGAGGTTCAACACAACAACCAAAATTTATTGGCAAATAGGATGGAGGTCTAAACTAACACAATCTGTCTGGTTACATAAAAGAAACAGTATTAAGAAAGCTCGAACGTATTACAAAATACAAACCGTGAGACAGAAAAGACATAAGACAAACATTTAGACACGTGGAAGGGATATATTCCATAATTACCATGGAACTGGACATAAAAGTTACATTCCTTTTTGTCTGGTGTTCCAAAAAGAGAATCTCTCTCTTCTCCCCCCCCCCCCCCCCACCCCCCCCCCCCCCCCCCCCCCCTTTCTTCCTTCCTTCCTTCCTTCCATAGTTATAGTCCTCTTCCATTAATATTCATGACGTATCTCTGATTGGTTGGCCAGTCTATTCTCTGATGTGATTGGCTAACTTCCAATCCCCTAAATTTAGCATACAACCCCCTTTAAGGCAAATCCTGGCACACCCTTTATGGAATTTAAGCATGTCAGTTCATGACCTTTTGCTGGGACAGACGTATTCATGAAAGGCTGGCCACCTTCATTGCATATCTAAATGAGGTATGCATTGAACTGCATATTTGGAAAGCCAACAGGTGGGTCTCATTGTTAGATAATTCTAACTCTGGCATGGACATGTCTGAAAGCAGATTCTCAGCAAAGATTTCTAATTTACAGTAAAGAAGGTGTAATTACTAGAATATTCCCTATGGTATCTATAGAAGAGGAATTTCTTGGAAGACCTATTGCACATCTGCACTGATAAAGCTCTAACTGAAATATATTCTTAATACAATTTTATTTACAGTGTTTAATGAAGATTTCACAAACTCATTATCTAACAACTGTAAAATTCAACTTGAAAACTAGCTTGCAATATTTTATACAAAAATATAAAATGAAGTGAGCGCTCATTAAATAAAATATCAATGAAAAAGTAAGCAGCTAATGGCACAAGAGGGGATCACAACCTCCTCTGATTGTATAAATAGATGAATAAAGTGCAGCGCTAAAGCATATCAAAAAAGTTCGTTCTTAGAAGTTCGTTGTCAAAAAGTTCATAAGATATCTTGATCAATACTATGGTGTACACAGCTAGAAGGATCCAGTGAAAATGACAGAAATGCGCACTCACCGACCGCGCATAGGAAATGCGCATTTGTGTGTTAAAAACACAAGTGTCGAACTCCCTCAGGACAAGGTATCATCAGGCGGTGATCTGCTAGGCTCACAGGACCTCCTTAAGATCAGGATTAAAGACGGCCAGGTGAGGGCTCCCTCCTCCAGATATAGCTGTGTCTGCCAGTCTGATAACCCCTAGAGTAAAATGGCCGCCAGACCTCCTCGTGGTCTGGGCGGCGATGAGGCGTCACAAGCTGTCAGTTCCTCCTGAGGCCTTTCGTGCTAGAGCACATCTTCAGAGGAGAGGCTGACAGCTTTGTGACGGACGCCAGATTTCTAAAATACCAAAGCGCGGGAGTCGCGCATGCGCACTAACTCACCGCCATTTTCGAGTGGACCGGGCAACTGCGCATGCGCGCGCGTCTAGACGCCATTTTGCCGTGGATACAAGAAACTGTCAGCAGAGATGCAATGCATACAGCTGTCAGGGCACACTGAAAGGTGCTTTTGAGCCGAGAGTGATGGCTCATGATCCCAGGGGGTAAGCAAAATGATCAGTCCGATATTACAGCGGAAAGATATAGCGCCAGAACCCCTTGGCAAGTAATTATATCACCTAGAATGGTGATTCATAGGGAAGATAATGCAAACTTATCCACGGCATATGGAGGTGCTGGATACATCAATCCACATTTAAAACATATATACATAATGTGAAATATAGAATGAAATGTGGTCAAAGGTTAATAATGGTGTATTCTAAAAAATAGAGGAAAATCCTTATATATAATTGCATCAATGACCGATCTGGAGTTGGAAGTCACATATATGTGTGAAACCACTGCCATAATCTGAGAGACCAGATAGTCCAAAAAATCTTTATATTTCAAGACACCATATTTGCCAAAAAATATTGGTGGTTAGAATTATGCTGCACCCAACAATCAAAGTGCACAGCACAAATAATTGCCATAATTGATAGCTCTTAATCCTAGATGGGGTGATCAAAGATGCCATAGCCGGTCCTGAAACTCAATCATTCATTGACAGAATTAATACCCATTTATCCATGGCATATAAAGGTGCTGAAAGTGCAACAATCCGTACCGAGAGTATAAATACTTGAGTAATAAAAAAACTCATAAGTGGATATAGGTATATATGTTGATGTGTAAAGTCATAAATGATATGACCTAGTACACTAAAATATTGTTTCATAAAATATAGACTAGGATAGCATAAAATGCATAAAATGAATAGAATAGCATAAAATTACATATAATAACATAGAGGCGTCAAAGGCTTAATATAATATGCATATATGTCAATCTGGAATAGGTAATTAATAAAAGGACTTTGCAATAAAAACATGGGAACCTAACTGTTAGCTATAAAGCAATTCACGTCAATCTCGATATTGTGTCCTCTGGGGTGTAAAGTATCTAGTTCGTAAACCCATCTTGTTTCTGATTGTGACACAGCTCTGGTCTTGTTGATACCCTCCAATGTGGTGATATCACATCAATTCCTACAAATTTAAGAGAGGAGGGGTCGCTGTTGTGAAGTAGTCTGTAATGGTTAGAGAGTGAATGCTCCCTATAGCCCTTCCTGATATTGGCTACATGTTTCTCTTAACCGGTCACGGAGCCGTCTTGTCGTGCGTCCCACGTATTGTTTATAGCATGGGCATTGGAGTAGGTACACAACGAATCTACTATTACATGAGATGAATCGATCGATGGTATATGTTTTTCCAGTTGTAAAAGACTCAAAATTATTGGTCTTGTATTTCCTAGCACCATTGCATTTGCAGATAACACATTTATTACAAGGATAGAATCCTTTGAGTTCGCCAAAAAATGTAGTGCTAGTTGGAGGGTTCACCACATTAGGTGCTATTTGGTGCCTAATTGCCGTTGTTTTCCGGAAAATAATTTCGGGTTTGTCAGGCAAGATTTTTGATAAAGTAGGATCCAATTTCAGTAAATGCCAGTTTTTCTTTATGATTCCCCCAATTTGTCTAAACTGTGTCGAAAAGGTTGTGTAATAAAAGGGCAGACCAATGATTTAGTTGGTCTTGGTTTGTCTGATAACATATCTCTCCTATCACGTTGAGCAATCGTCCGTATAGTATTATCTAGACCATCCTCCTTATAACCCTTCTCTAGGAACCTTTTCTTCAGTACCATGGCCTGATTAAAATACGTATCCATATCCGTACAGTTGCGTCGGATGCGCATAAACTGGCCTTTTGGAATGTTACCCAACCAGTTAGGATGGTGACAGCTGCTGGTTGGAATGTAACTATTCCTATCTGTAATCTTAAAAAATGATTTGTTACAATCTTACCGTTAAAATTGATTAGAGTAAGATCTAGAAAGTTAATTTTCAGATTGACTATATGAATAAGTGAGGCTGATATTAAAATTATTGTTGTTAAGACTCGTAAAAAAGTTAATCAAAGAATCCTTCCCCCATTCCCAAAGAAGGATAATATCATCTATGTACTCTTGTACATGACTAATTCTGGCCAATCTCTAGCGTAAATAAGGTCTTCCTCCCATCGAGAGACATGAAAAGGTTCGCCAGGCTGGGGGCAAACTTAGCCCCCATTGCAACCCCTTTGATCTGCAAATAGTATGACTGGTCAAACCAGAAATAATTGTGATCTAATGCAAATTCCAGTAGCTCTAAAATAAAATGTTTTTTGTGTCATGGGTAAAGTGCTATAGTTCGTGAGATAAAAGTTTGCCGCCTCCATTCCATCAGCGTGATTGATGTTGGTGTAGAGAGAAGCCACGTCAGCAGTAACAAGATAGAGTGCTAGGCAATGTGTTTAAAGTGCTGACTTTATATTTAGCACCTGTTTAGTGTCTCGTAGGTAAGACGGGGTTTGTGTTACCAAAGGCTGAAGGTAGTGGTCTATATACTCCCCTATTTTTAGAGCTAAGGGATCCGATCCCATAATTATTGGACGTCCTGGTGGGTGGACTGGGTCCTTATGTATCTTGGGCAAGATGTATAATATAGGCAGCTTGGGTGTTAAAGGGCATAAGAAAGCCTTTTTCTTTTTTATTTAGAATATTTAGGTCATAGCCCTTAGTGATAATCCTCTTGAGCTCCTTTTTGTAGCTTAGCATAGGGTCACATGATAAAGGTTTGTAAGTAGTGCTGTCATCAAGGATGTTGTTGACCTCAGTGATGTAATCAGTTTTGTTCAGAATCACAACTCCTCCTCCCTTATCGGCTGGTCTAAACAACCAGATCTTTCCTTTCAAGCAAAGATTTAATCACCCTATTGTCCCCCGCTCTATTATATGAGTTATGTATAGGGATGTTTCTAAGATCGCTTAGGACCTTATCTTTAAAAAGATTAACACAAGAATGTGCTTGGGGTGGTGGGTTGTAAGTAGATGCATTCCTTAAATTGGAATGCATGAACCCATCAGATGGGATATTACTCATGATTGGGTTATTACAGAAGTATCGTTTTAGAGATAACTGTCTTGCAAATTTATGAACATCAATGTATGTGCCAAATTTATTCAGTTTCTTTGCAGGTGCATATTTAAGTCCTTTATCAAGGAGACGTAGTTCCTCATTGGTCAGATGTGTATCACTCAGATTAAAGATGCCCTTACCAACTACGGTTTCTCTTTTTTGGGGTTTCTATTCGTCCTCCTTCCCCCTCTCTCTTTCCCCTCCTGAATTTCTCCTTTTTCTTGGACAGGGACCCTCCTCTAAAAAAAGGCTGTCTGGGGTGGTAAGGTTGATGTGAACCTTTAGGGATGGGGTTTTGAGGTTTACGATGATGATTCTGGTAATTATTCTGAGGTTTTAGTTGGTTTCCTCTTTTGAGGGGGGGTTATTAGAAGGGGGATATTGGACCCTATTATCCCTAAAATTCCGTGGGGATGGGTGATAATAGGGATGGTGATAATTAGGGTTGTACTGTTGAGTCGGTGGCCAATTATTTTGTCTTGGAGGGGTGTAGTAGTCAGTGGAAACCTATCTCCTCCATAATTGGTATAAGCATTAGGGGTTGTCTATAAAGCTCTCTGGAGCCAATATTATTGTCCTGGAGAGGTTGAGATCTACTGGACAAGGGAATAGGATATTGTTTATTATGATTGGAATTCTTGTGTTTTGGATATATTAGATCTAGAATTGTTAGTATTGTTAGCAGTAGGAGTTTTGGGGGGAACGGGGGTCCTCCTGTTTTTGCCAGTTAAAGACTGATTGATCTGAATAATCCTTAAAATCCCTATGGTACTTTTTTTTCTTCTTCTTTATTTTTTGTTCTTTTTCTATCCCCTCCAGATGTTTTTTGAGTTTATCCGATTCATATTGTAGTTAACCCTTATCCTTATGTGGGGTTAATTTGTTCTCTAATGAGATTGATCTCTTTATCCAAGTGTGCTAATTTCTTCTTTTTCCTAATGATGAGGAATTTTAACAAATCTATTCCAGCATTATTAAAAAACTGGAACCATTCCAAATGACTGTTAGTGTCCTCTGAGTCTGGGCGCACATCCCAGCGCAATGACCTAGGGACCATATGTTCCTTTGTATATTTATTCAAAAAGGAGATGTCCCATAATGTTTTAATTTCACTTGTGGCAAGATTTTTAAGTTGTAGGAACAGACCTTTTAGGTCGTCGGGTCTCTTTATCACCTGTATCAACTGTAAAAAAATCTTCCGATATGACAGTTCTAGAAAGCCTATAGTCAAAGATATCCCCCATTTTAAATTAATAAAAAGATGGAATATAATCAAGTATGATACTAAAAACCTGAAAGCAGCTCAAAACTTATAGTGATAAAAACAGATATAAAATGAAGTGAGCGCTCATTAAATAAAATAATCAATGAAAAAGTAAGCAGCTAATGGCACAAGAGGGGATCACAACCTCCTCTGATTGTATAAATAGATGAATAAAGTGCAGCGCTAAAGCATATCAAAAAAGTTCGTTCTTAGAAGTTCGTTGTCAAAAAAGTTCATAAGATATCTTGATCAATACTATGGTGTACACAGCTAGAAGGATCCAGTGAAAATGACAGAAATGCGCACTCACCGACCGCGCATAGGAAATGCGCATTTGTGTGTTAAAAAACACAAGTGTCGAACTCCCTCAGGACAAGGTATCATCAGGCGGTGATCTGCTAGGCTCACAGGACCTCCTTAAGATCAGGATTAAAGACGGCCAGGTGAGGGCTCCCTCCTCCAGATATAGCTGTGTCTGCCAGTCTGATAACCCCTAGAGTAAAATGGCCGCCAGACCTCCTCGTGGTCTGGGCGGCGATGAGGCGTCACAAGCTGTCAGTTCCTCCTGAGGCCTTTCGTGCTAGAGCACATCTTCAGAGAGAGAGGCTGACAGCTTTGTGACGGACGCCAGATTCTAAAATACCAAAGCGCGGGAGTCGCGCATGCGCACTAACTCACCGCCATTTTCGAGTGGACCCGGGCAACTGCGCATGCGCGCGCGCGTCTAGACGCCATTTTGCCAGTGGATACAGATACTTTACACCCCAGAGGACACAATATCGAGATTGACGTGAATTGCTTTATAGCTAACAGTTAGGTTCCCATGTTTTTATTGCAAAGTCCTTTTATTAATTACCTATTCCAGATTGACATATATGCATATTATATTAAGCCTTTGACGCCTCTATGTTATTATATGTAATTTTATGCTATTCTATTCATTTTATGCATTTTATGCTATCCTAGTCTATATTTTATGAAACAATATTTTAGTGTACTAGGTCATATCATTTATGACTTTACACATCAACATATATACCTATATCCACTTATGAGTTTTTTTATTACTCAAGTATTTATACTCTCGGTACGGATTGTTGCACTTTCAGCACCTTTATATGCCATGGATAAATGGGTATTAATTCTGTCAATGAATGATTGAGTTTCAGGACGGCTATGGCATCTTTGATCACCATCTAGGATTAAGAGCTATCAATTATGGCAATTATTTGTGCTGTGCACTTTGATTGTTGGGTGCAGCCATAATTCTAACCACCAATATTTTTGGCAAATATGGTGTCTTGAAATATAAAGATTTTTTGGACTATCTGGTCTCTCAGATTATGGCAGTGGTTTTCACACATATATGTGACTTCCAACTCCAGACTCGGGTCATTGATGCAATTTAATATAAGGATTTTCCTCTATTTTTTAGATTACACCATTATTAACCTTTGACCACATTTCATTCTATATTTCACATTATGTATATATGTTTAAATGTGGATTGATGTATCCGGAGCACCTCCATATGCCGTGGATAAGTTTGCATTATCTTCCCTATGAATCACCATTCTAGGTGATATAATTACTTGCCAAGGGGTTCTGGCGCTATATCTTTCCGCTGTAATATCGGACTGATCATTTTTGCTTACCCCCTGGGATCATGAGCCATCACTCTCGGCTCAAAAGCACCTTTCAGTGTGCCCTGACAGCTGTATGCATTGCATCTCTGCTGACAGTTCTTTGTATCCACGGCAAAATGGCGTCTAGACGCGCGCGCATGCGCAGTTGCCCGGTCCACTCGAAAATGGCGGTGAGTTAGTGCGCGCATGCGCGACTCCCGCGCTTTGGTATTTTAGAATCTGGCGTCCGTCACAAAGCTGTCAGCCTCTCCTCTGAAGATGTGCTCTAGCACGAAAGGCCTCAGGAGGAACTGACAGCTTGTGACGCCTCATCGCCGCCCAGACCACGAGGAGGTCTGGCGGCCATTTTACTCTAGGGGTTATCAGACTGGCAGACACAGCTATATCTGGAGGAGGGAGCCCTCACCTGGCCGTCTTTAATCCTAATATTTTATACAAATTTATTCAGTTACAGTATATGATTTTGGGTTTTTTTTTTTCTGGGGATTTGGTAAAATTCCAATACTGTGCTCATGTGCGTGTATTCCCATCTAATAATATGTAATATTTGAGAGATTTCTTCCACTCCTGTAGACACAACAGATATGAGAAGGAAATCTAAGACTGTTGTCACCAGAACAAGTGTCCCTATTGATAAATTATGATTACCACACCAATTTGGAGAATGGTTCCAAATTTTGGATTTTTCCCTCGCTTTCAGTTCAGTTGTCACCAGAACAAGTGTCCCTATTGATTCAATTTTTCTTACCACTCCAATTTGGAGAATGGTTCCAAATTCTGGATTTTCTCACTTTCAGTTCAGTTGTCACCAGCACAAATGGGAGAGAGTGAATCTTTCTAGCATGGGTAAAGGTGGCAACAAAACCTAGTGGGAATCCATTACCACCCAATTGAAAATAAATTTGGACTATAAATATACTTTATTACCAGCTAAAACGTGGTAAGCACTTTTTAAAATTATTTTTTTATTTCTTCTTTTTTTGGATTATGGTTATTTTATTTATATTTTTTTAAGCCATTTAAATGGATAAAAGCTGACCACTGTAAGCACCACAGCAGTATTATATTGTTCATCCTACTTGCTATTTGTGGACAACTTTGTCTGAATATAAATAGAAGAAAATCTAAATAAAGGAATGTGAAATTAAAAAAAAATATATTTTCTGAATACTAATATATTGAAGACATTGAACCCCATGTAGTACTAGAACACTGTTTTCAGTACAAGGGGCTGGGTAAGTGTAACAAATTTGTTGGGTGGTCCATGCAAAATTTGAAACTGCTGATTTATTTTCTATTTATTTTAATTTTATTTATTTGCTCTCTCAAGACAATAAAAAATACAGTATTGTGTTGGAGGCGCACACACACTTCTAAACTTCCTAGCGTCTGATCAGATAATACATTTTTACCAACTTCCACTTTACTTTTTTTTTTTTTTTTTTTTTTATCTGACAAATGTTTGTAGTCTACAAAAAAAAAAATCCGATTTTTGAAAACTCCTCTTCACCTGATTGAGAGCTCAAACTGAAGGTAGGTTCCCTTACCTTAGGACCCCTTCACATGCACTCTAGTAAGGTGCCATTCATTTTCAAGGGCATGCCAACCCATGGTTATAGTTGCACTGTAGTTCACCACGTGCGTTTGGGGTGTAGTGTTTAAAAAAAAAAAAACAAATTGGGTAAAAAAAAAAATAAAATTCCAGTTCGGGGCTTTAAAAAAAATTGGACCCCCCAGCAGCTCCTAGTGGTATACTCACCTGATCTTGGGTGCTGTCACCCACAGACACACTGGGGCACTGCTCCTCTTCTAGGTTAAGTGGCATCCGGTATCATTAAACTTCCTTTCTTAACTTTTTTATTAACCCAAAGCTCTTCTGTCTTTCAGGCCTTTGTGGAGCATTTGTCCCTTGCATTTTGGCATGCAGAGTAGCTTCAGACTACGGGGAGTGCTGCTGCTTGCCGTTTTTAGGAGGTGCCCTGCTGGCCATGCGCACTGGCATGAGAGAGCGCTACCACATCCCGGTAAGGATTAGACTACAGCATAGTGGGCACAGTCATTTCTTTTACTATGAAAAGTTTGTTCTTTAATGGGAATTGTATAGTGTTTTTGTATACATTTTTTATAGTGGTTTTGTGTGTATTTTCTGCATTGTTGTTATACAGGATTTATATAGCGCCAACAGTTTGCTCAGCGCTTTACAATCTAAAGGGAGACAATACAGTTCAATATAGGAGGGCCCTGCTCCTTGGAGCTTAAAATCTAAGAGGGAGGGGCTAGTGGTACAAACAGTAATAACTGTGGGGGATGGACTGGTAGGAGGAATAGAAGATTCCATTATTAGCTGAGGGCAGGATAGGCTTCCCTGTAGAGAGAGGATTTCAGAGATCTCCTAAAAGTGAGCAGAGTAAGTATGTAAAATAGTGCAGCGCTAAAAAATCTATAGTAGTATGATGGTATGGGTAAATGAAACTATATAATGACACAAGTAAAATGCTAAATAAAATATATGGGTCAAATAATAAAATATTAGAATAAAAAGTCCATAAATAAAACCAAAAATCCAATGGAGGCCCAAGGTGACACAATTTTATTCCCGGTGATGTATCAATCGTCAAACAGGTATATATAACAGATTGCTATAAGCAATCAAATTGTGTTTCAAAAAAAAAAAAAAAAAATAAAAAATACTGATCACTACCCCAAAGTAGTACTATAGTACCATGGTAACATTATACTACTTTGGTTATAGTGTAACATGAAAAAAAATCTTAAGAGAAAAAAATTAATTTTTTATTAAATTATCAAGTTCGTTTTTGTTTTTTTTGTACTGTCACTCATCAGTGTCCCTGATCACTGCCATGCCAGTTATATGATGATGCTGTACTGCACTGGTGACAGTATGTGTAAAAAAAAAAAATAAAAAAATAAAGTATTTAATTTCTTCATTTTCCAAAAAATTATGACCAAAAAAACTCTCTCCATGCCTCTTATGAAATACGTCGGACTGTCTACTTTGCAAAAAGGGGTCATTTGGGGGATATCTGTACTGTTCTGACATTCTTGGACCTCAAGAAATTATATTGGCTGTCAGTACTTCACAAATTATGGTATAGATCTGAAAGTTAATCAATCCTGAACTCTATAACTTTCCTACAGACTAAATAATAAATACTAATTTGGGTTATTTTCACCAAAGACATGTAGCAAAAGACATCTCGGCCTAAATTTATGAAAAACAATTTATTTGCAAACGTTTATGGCAGAAACTAAGAAAAACGTGGGGCTTTTTTCAAAATTTTCGGTCTTTTTTTGTAATTTAGCAAGAAATAAAAACCCCAGCGGTGATTAAATACCACCAAAAGAAAGCTCTAGTTGTGTGAAGAAAATGATAAAATTTGAGTTTAATACAGTGTTGCATGACTGCACAATTGTTGTTGTTGTTCAAAGTGTGAGAGTGCTGAAACATGAAAATTGCCCTGGGGGGGTAAAAGTGCCCGGTATGGAAGTGATTAATTTCACCGCTACTTTCACAAGGGTAATAGTGCACAGAAAGTAGATATTTTTCCTGTGTGGCCATTAAGGAAGATTTTTAAATGAGAGGTTTTTGTGCCCAGATTTCAGATGCAATAACTCTTCATAGGTTTATCATTTAACAAAAAATAGTCGATGGTGTGTAAGTGATGTCTAAGTTCTCTTTCTTCGTCCTACAGGGGTCTATCTGCAATGACTGCGTGTGCCTCACATTCTGCGGACAGTGCACCCTCTGTCAGATGGCGCGTGAGCTGAAGGCCAGGAACTGATGACCCATTGGCATGATGGTGTCATGACGGGCATCCACGGACTGTTTTTTACCTTTTACGAGAACCTGGAAAACACTGAAATCTCATTAAAGGGGGAGAGGTTACCATGTGTGTCACCACTGACCCCCCCCCTTTCCAAGAAACATCAGGCAGGACTATGGGAACAACTGTGATTCTACGTGGACATTACATTACTCTGTTAAAATTGTGAAAGCATTTAGAGCTTGTAGTTGAAAACTGGATTTTAATTTGTATATTTCTTCCCCCCCCCCCCCCCCCCCCCCCCAATGTCTTCATATAAATGCCAGTTCCAATATTTCAAGCTGTGATGTGCACCTATGTGTTATATTGCCCCCTGGCTTCTTATGCCAGTCTGAGAATACTGAAATAAAGGGGGGAAAAAAACTGCTCTACACCCCAAACAATACAATGTGTGAAAAAAATATTCCAAAACAATAGTGAACACAATTAGTGAACTGCTGCTACTCTTTCCCTGAACACCAGAAAATGAGAGAGGGAGAGAGATTCTATATCTATCAATGAGTCAGCTGTTCTCTAAATAATCAACACTATTCAATCAAATAAATGCTGCTACATAAATTAATTGAAATTATATAAGTCCACATTCATATATTAAAAGTCCCAAGATCAGGTGTGAATGCCTGGTGTATTGTACTGCATTGCCGAAATTTTTATAATGTATCGAGTCTTGTTAACCTTTGAAAGTGAATGGGACACTTAAATGCAAGATGCAGTAAGGGGTCCCAAGCATAATGTTAGAACAGTATTCTCAGACTATATATATATATATATATATATATATATATATATATATGTGCTCTGTTCACTAAATCATCAATCAAATAAATGCTGCTACATAAAGTGCATAAATTAATTGAATTTATATAAGTCCACATTACTATATTAAATAATTAAAAGTCCCAAGATCCAATAATACAGTGCTGTGCGCTAAAGAAATCCTCCAACAGAAAAGTGCATAGGTGTCCACAAATGCTTGACACAAAATTTTTAAAAAAATCAGCCTCTTACCAGACACATTGATCTCCATCTGCTCTGATCTCTTGACTGGAGATCAAAGTGTCTGGTAAAAGAGGCTGATTATTTTTTTTTTCTTTTTATGTCAAGCATTTGTGGACACCTATGCACTTTCCGTTGGAGGATTTCTTTAGCGCGCTGTATTATTGGATCTTGGGACTTTTAATTATTTAATATATGAATGTGGACTTCTATAATTTCAATTCATTTATGCACTTTTTTTTTTTTTTTTTTTTTTTTTTTTATGTAGCAGCATTTATTTGATTATTTGGTGAACAGCGCACTCATTATATTTATATATATATATATATATATATATATCTCTGAGAATACTGTTCTAACATTACGCTTGGGACCTCTTACTGCACCTTTCATTAAAGTGTCCCATTCACTGTCACCAGTTAACAAGCCTTGATACATCACAAAAATACCTGCATTATTTTTCGGCAATGCAGTACAATACAGCAGGCATTCACACCTATGCAGCTTGCTATAGGTCAGATGCATTTTGTATATGTCCATTGAGCTACCATTAAAACAAATACCAATGCCCTAATACCATGCGTTGCGCACACTGAACGGCGTGAATGGACTTCTCCGCCTCGCAGCCCCTTTCAAAAGCTGCAATTCACGCACACTCTTACAGCTGCATTTTAAAGTGATGAATCTATTTCCTAAGAATAATACATTTTGTAAGATCTTATGGCTTTGCAATGGTATTTAGGCAAAATTGGACAATCTGGTTAGCATATTTTATCAATGGGGGATATAATAAATGGGTACGTGGTTCAAGCTGTTGGCATTCACAGTATAGTTTAATATTCATTTTGGGTGGAGTTTATCTTCTAAAGGGTAATATGTAAAGGACAATAGCCAATAGTGACCAAAGATTTCATTTCACTGGTTCGTCTGCATTCAATTTATTTAAGCAAAAATAGTTCCTAGCTGCTCAATAAAACATGCCCAACAGTGCAGTGATTGTTGTGTAACAATTCAACATTTTTAGCGGGTTTTTTCTGTATATTATGACATTCTTCCTTTTTTAGATGCTTTCATGTATGTGGCTCATAGTTATTACTGAGAACTCTACACTGCTGTACATAGATGATGAAAATGGTGTTGCCCATGCATAAAATCAGATGCACCCCCTCGGTTTTATTCTCTAGGATGAAGGAAAGCTCCGTTCTGCTTTCTGTAGGCAACACCATTGATTTACACTCCTAAATAATAGCCTTTCATAACAATTGTACAGAGATATGAAGACCAATATTCCGTTTATTCTGCATGCATGGATCTCTATTATTATTTTTTTTTTTTTTTTTTAAAAATGTGAAAATAAAACTATTATAAAATGTTCCTGGTGTGGAATCTATTTTTCTAGTGTCCTACCATCTAAAAGACTAGTCATGTCCACACATTGGGCAGCAAGTGAGTATGTTTTCAAGAGAACTTCAAAAGTAAATTTGAGATTTTATCATTTACAATACCTGGGACTTCTGCAGGCACTTCCTATTATAGGGTGGCAACGCTCTGTTCCTGTCTCACAGTTGTGATCCTGTATTGTCACAGACGTTTCTGTTGGAGACTACAAGTGGCCATTTTGATACATGCTATGAAGACATGGTACACTCTCATCATTTGTAAACCCAGCCTGAGAAACATATTGCATTTAAGAATAATGAGGCTGCAGGAGATGGAATAGATATACGTACATTCCAGAGATATGCAAATAATTTTACCCATTTACAAAACATTTTCAGTTTTGGTCACAAGTTCTCAGTAAAAACATTGCTGAATTAGAAAAAATTTAACAAAAAACAACAAAATTTATAATGGGGGTGGAGGACCTCAGCAGTGAGAATTAATTACATAGATTAGTCAGGGGCGGACTGACAACTCACGGGGCCCCCGGACAATAGGGGATCATGGGGCCCCTGTGTCCTTGCCCAAACTCAAAAAAGCCTATGAAAAAAAGGTACCAGGGGCATCTCATGGGGCCCCCTACTGAACCCGGGCCCTCAGCAGTGCCCGAGTTTCCACAAGGTCAGTTCGCCCTTGATTACAGTTATTCACTATGGAAAAGAGGTGCTTAAGAAGGAATATGATTACAATGTACAGATACATTATGACCACCCACCGTAATCCGTTGAAGCATGGACTACACTAGAGTCTGAAGGTATGCTCTGATATCTGGCACCTGGTCTGTAGCAGATCCTTTAAGTTCTGTAAGTTGTGAGGTGGGGTCTACATGGATCAGATTGCTTTTCCAGCTCATTCCACAGATGTTTGATGGGATTAAGATCTGGAGAATCTGGAAGCAAGGTCAACACCTCAACTTGTGTTTCTCAAATCATTCTTGAATCATTAAATCATTCATTCCAGGTCACCTTCTTCCATTGCTCTATGGTCCAGTTCTGTTACTCATGTGCCCATTGTAGGTGCTCTTTGCTGTGGACACCTTGGCCAGTCTGCAGCTACACAGCTGCAATGCACTGTGTGTTTTGCTACCTTTCTATTGGTACCAGCATTCAGTTTTTCAGCAATTGTAGCTACAGTAGCTCTTGAAATACTACACAGGCCAGCCTTCACACCCCAAGTGCTTCAGAGAGCTATGGTCACCCATGACCCTGTCATTTGTTTGCTGCTTTTCTTTCCTTGGAGTACTTTTGGTAGACTCTGACCACTCTAGATCGGAAACATCCCACAAGAGCTCCAGTTTTGGAGTTTCTTTGACCCAGTTACAATTTGGCCCTGTTTAAATCAGAGAGGTGCCAGACTCTTTGCTTTGGTTTCTGGTTAGTATACACTATAGTGAGTTGTGCTTCGTTCATTTTTTCATCTCTGAGGTTTACAACCACTTTAAAGAACAGTTACAAAGATAGATGAATTGATTGAAGTAATATACACTGCTCAAAAAAATTAAAAGAACACTTTGAAAACACATCAGATCGCAATGGGGAAAAATTTCCTGTTGGATATCTATACTGATATGGGCTGGGTAATGTGTTAGGAATGTAAGGATGCCCCATCGTTTGATGGAAATTAAATTTATCAGCTACAGAGGACTGAATTCAAAGCCCCCCCTGAAAATCAAAGTGAAAAAATGGTGCAGCAGGATTGTCCATTTTGGTGAAATTTCACTGCACAACTCAAAATGGTCCTTGGTAGTTTATATGACCCCCACGTGACAGTGTCAGGGCATGCTCCTAATGAGACAACAGTTGGTGTCCTGGGGTAGTTCCTCCCATATCTGGACCAGGGCATCACTGAGCTCCTGGACAGTCTAAGGTGCAACCTGGCGGCGTCGGATGAACCGAAACATGATATCCCAGAGGTGTCCTATTGGATTTAGGTCAGACATGGGGGCCGTTCAATGGTATCAATGCCTTCATCCTCCACGAACTGCCTGCCCTGAGGTGGGGCATTCTCGTGCACCAGAAGGAACCCAGGACCCACTGCACCAGTGTAGGGTCTGACAATGGGTCCAAGGATTCATCCCCATACCTAATGGCAGTCAGGGTGCCATTGTCTAGCCTTTCATTAACACCAAAGCAGCTGAAACTGATTACCAACCCCCTCTGCTACTTAACCAACCGGATCAATATCCTGGGAGTTTAATTGACTTGACGCTACACTTTAATTAAAAAGTGTTCCTTTAATTTTTTTTGAGCAATGTATGTATACAGCACACTTCTATTCAGTACTAATAGGAACTGTACCACTATGGGAACTTCAATGATTGAAAGTATTGATGCCATATGTACCACCTCGGAATACTGAAACAATGTGAATGAGACTGTGTCATGGTAATGATGATAGTCATAATAAATGTCAAATACAGATCCTCTATAATACAAGGAAAGATGAGGTTATGGTGGAAAAAGTTGAGATATATGTCAATTAATCAACCAATTCTTTTGTTTCGTTAAGTCATCTGGATATAG